TTATTTTTTGCGAACCGAACCTGAACCTTAAACCATTATTTTTATCCGAACCTGAACCGATATTCGTTTCGGTTTGGATCCTTGGTCTTCTATAGTCATAGAGCCTTGACCGCTTTCCTGACATCTTTGGAATTCGAAGATACTCTAACTTTCTTAATAATTCTCTGAATGCCATTGAATTTACATTCTTTATTGAGTCGTTATATGCGCGTGACCCAAGCCGAGAACGTCTCATCCTTGCCTTGAGTTGCAGCATAAAATAATGATAGTTTAACGTTCTCAGTCTTCAATGGATGTTGTAACTTGAATTTGCTAAGCAGAGCGATTGGGTCCTGGAAGTCTGCCTCACTGCAAATTGCCCCAATATTATTAAATTCGTCATCAGGAAGACTTCGGAGAAATAAAGCGGCCTTTTCTCCGTTGAAGATCTTGCTGGTGTTGAAGAAATTCTGCAATTTCCCTATGTAGGCGCTGTCACCGCTACTAAATTTAAGGAAATCCAGCTTGACAAATTCAGTCATATATGTGGAATTCTTCAAAGCATCCATCGTAAGAGAATAATAATCGATAAAGGTGTAAAATAGAATAAATGTACATTGCAAAATCAAGTTCAAATTTTGAGATAATACTTACGCAGAGTTCAGACGTAGATTGGCCTCCATGTTGGAATTGTGTTATTTCCACGTTTTATCATAGATAATTAATTCATCACATTTTTCATTGATTATCATTTTATTTTTTTTTATTATAATAATTTACAATTTATTTTTCCAAAGATAAATTACATTTTTTTTTATCTCTTTTTTAACAAAAACAATTTCTCTTTATATATCTTTTTTTTTAAACAATAAAAAAAATAACTAATACAAATTGATGTATAAAAAAATGTTAATATTAAATTTTCACCTATTAAATTTAAATACAAATTGATATATAAAAAAAATAAATCAATTGCCAAAATAAATAATAAAATAACATCGATCAACATATTCAACAAATTTAATAAATGTTTTTCAATTATAATTGATGGATGTTTCCAAATCAAAAGCAATAGGTTTGTTAGTAAGTTATATTGAAAATGGTAACATGACTGGTCTTGATATTAAATATGCAAATAGTTCCGTGAATCTACCTCTCGAATTCTTAATTGGGCAAAGTTCTGATGGTGCTTTAGACATGAGTGGAAAAAGATCATAGGAGTAGAGACTTTAATCAGATCTGAGATCTCAAAGGCAGCTTTTATTTGGTGCTATCCTCATCGATTAAATCTAATAATTGATTATGCCAATTGATAAAGGAACTAGGAAATGTTTTAGGGACCTTAGACCTGATTCATGTGTATTTCAATGGTGTTAATATATATGCAGGGCTCATAGCATGTCATAGGGATGTACTGACAAAATCGGAACGATTTTTACATATCAAGAATATCACTCGGTAATATTTTCTTTTTTGTTTAGATTTAAAATGTTTATTTTATATTTATAGAAGCTGGCTATCATCATATAAATGTAATACTTTGTAATACCTGAGGGCTGCTTTAAAAAAATTAAAGGATACTGTAGATTCTGCCATTTCTACCATGTTTTAGAATAGAAAAATTTTATTTTATTTTGTCACTTTGTGTTTTGGATAATATTGTTGATAACAAGATTGGTTTGTACAAAATCGCAAACCGATGGGTATCGAATGGGGTTTGCAGTAAATCAAATTCAATTGGCAAAAGATTGCCTGATTAATTTGAGAAGTATCATTTAAATTATTGTCTTGTATTATTCATTAATTCTAATAGATAATAACAGAGAATTTATGAAAGTTTTTTCAAAGCACACGATTTTATGAAGGGGAGAAATTTGGGAAAATAGAACCTTCATAATAAAAAGGCAAATGGGCCATACCATGTCAAATCGATCAAAAAAGGCACTTTTTCGGCGACCCCTTTTAAAATTGTTAAAAATTTCTGGAATTATTTAGATAAGCCATTTATTTGAGCTCGCTAGCACACCTGGTTCTCGAGATATATGGGCTCAAAGGTACAAAAAAGAACCACTTTGGAATCTGTAAAATTTTTAAAATGCTTATATCTCAAAAACTATTTATAGTTAAAAATATTATAATATATCAATTTGTAGGTAAATAAATTATCTAATGGGCTAACAAAGAATAATAAATATTGGCGCCATTATAGACTTTTAACATCCGGTTTACCTAAATTGCTTTACCTGTATTTTTAAGCAAAATAGTGAGTTTGTTTTCGATTTTTTTTTATTGTTTTTTATTTAGACACCTTTGCTAAATATATATACTATATCAAAACCTTGGCGACGCTATTGACTCCAAAAATTGACAAAAAATATAGATGGCGCTTTATGAAATTAGGGATTATGGTTAAAATTTTGCTGCTAACTTATCAATAACCAGATATTTTCACTTTTTATATTAAAAATTTTTTATTTTCTATTAAATATACTAATTAACTGAGGAGCAGAGTGGGAATATGCCCATTAGACACTTAATAATGTAACAAATTTCCAATAATAATTATCTTTCATATAATTTTTTTAATTTTTAAGGTATCTACAATTTCATCAAATTTTTCATCATTTGATGAAGAAAGATAATAGTATAATTTCAGTCGTTAAAACTTTTTTTTACTCTAGGTATTTTTTTCTTCGGAGATTTCTTTTCACATAAGCGTTTTCTTTTAATGAGAGATTCCCAATTTGATTGTAGGGATATATTAATGTTAACAATAGCCTCTTGATTAATTATATGAAGGGGAGAATCAATATCTACATTGTCATTTGAAGTATAAGAAATGTTTGATAATTTTTGTCGCCATGAAGAGCATATTAACTTATCTAAATTGAATGATAAATTTTTTTGGGTCATCCAGGGTAGAATCTTTCTTAGATTCTCGCGATAATAAGCATGTCTCTGTAGATTAAATGGGTTGCAACATTTTAATATTTGGTACGTCCATCTGTGATATAGAATAAAATTTGATCTACACCTAGAATACATGTTTTTGCACTCTCCAAATCCAGATTGTTATTGGTAGACAGACGATAAAATTAATCTGAACGGACAGGTTAAAATTATTTCTCAGAAAGAGAGATCGTTTTAAACAATTAATTTTGTAAAATATAATCGAATATATGCCTAATATTTTTACTGCAGCTGTTATATATTATCGAGCTAATAAGTCATTCGCTCGCTATAGAAGCAAAGTAGAGATCTAAAAAATGTAAAACATTTTAATGATAGTGGGAGGGGGGGGGAAGAAATGGAAAATTTTATCACAATTCTTATAAACGTATTAATATTTTCATTTTCCTTAAGAATAATATTTTTCAACTAGCGCCAACTACTTTTTTCTTCAATTTTTGGTAAAAATGTATATTATGGAAAAGTCGATAGCGTCGTCAAGGTTTTGACATCGTATATATATTTATAAACGGTGTCTAAATAAAAAGCAATAAAAAAAATTCGAAAACAAACTCACTATTTTGCTTAAAAATACAGGTAAAGCAATTTAGGTAAACCGGATGTTAAAAGTCTATAATGGCGCCAATATTTATTATTCTTTGTTAGCCCATTAGATAATTTATTTACCTACAAATTGATATATTATAATATTTTTAACTATAAATAGTTTTTGAGATATAAGCATTTTAAAAATTTTACAGATTCCAAAGTGGCTCTTTTTTGTACCTTTGAGCCCATATATCTCGAGAACCAGGTGTGCTAGCGAGCTCAAATAAATGGCTTTCTCATTTTTTTACCTATCTAAATAATTCCAGAAATTTTTAACAATTTTAAAAGGGGTCGCCGAAAAAGTGCCTTTTTTGATCGATTTGACATGGTATGGCCCATTTGCCTTTTTATTATGAAGGTTCTATTTTCCCAAATTTCTCCCCTTCATAAAATCGTGTGCTTTGAAAAAACTTTCATAAATTCTCTGTTATTATCTATTAGAATTAATGAATAATACAAGACAATAATTTAAATGATACTTCTCAAATTAATCAGGCAATCTTTTGCCAATTGAATTTGATTTACTGCAAACCCCCTTCGAAATGGTTTGCGATTTTGTACAAACCAATCTTGTTATCAACAATATTATCCAAAACACAAAGTGACAAAATAAAATAAAATTTTTCTATTCTAAAACATGGTAGAAATGGCAGAATCTACAGTATCCTTTAATTTTTTTAAAGCAGCCCTCAGGTATTACAAAGTATTACATTTATATGATGATAGCCAGCTTCTATAAATATAAAATAAACATTTTAAATCTAAACAAAAAAGAAAATATTACCGAGTGATATTCTTGATATGTAAAAATCGTTCCGATTTTGTCAGTACATCCCTATGACATGCTATGAGCCCTGCATATATATTAACACCATTGAAATACACATGAATCAGGTCTAAGGTCCCTAAAACATTTCCTAGTTCCTTTATCAATTGGCATAATCAATTATTAGATTTAATCGATGAGGATAGCACCAAATAAAAGCTGCCTTTGAGATCTCAGATCTGATTAAAGTCTCTACTCCTATGATCTTTTTCCACTCATGTCTAAAGCACCATCAGAACTTTGCCCAATTAAGAATTCGAGAGGTAGATTCACGGAACTATTTGCATATTTAATATCAAGACCAGTCATGTTACCATTTTCAATATAACTTACTAACAAACCTATTGCTTTTGATTTGGAAACATCCATCAATTATAATTGAAAAACATTTATTAAATTTGTTAAATATGTTGATCGATGTTATTTTATTATTTATTTTGGCAATTGATTTATTTTTTTTATATATCAATTTGTATTTAAATTTAATAGGTGAAAATTTAATATTAACATTTTTTTATACATCAATTTGTATTAGTTATTTTTTTTATTGTTTAAAAAAAAAGATATATAAAGAGAAATTGTTTTTGTTAAAAAAGAGATAAAAAAAAATGTAATTTATCTTTGGAAAAATAAATTGTAAATTATTATAATAAAAAAAAATAAAATGATAATCAATGAAAAATGTGAATTAATTATCTATGATAAAACGTGGAAATAACACAATTCCAACATGGAGGCCAATCTACGTCTGAACTCTGCGTAAGTATTATCTCAAAATTTGAACTTGATTTTGCAATGTACATTTATTCTATTTTACACCTCGATTATTATTCTCTTACGATGGATGCTTTGAACAATTCCACATATATGACTGAATTTGTCAAGCTGGATTTCCTTAAATTTAGTAGCGATGACAGTGCCTACATAGGGAAATTGCAGAATTTCTTCAACACCAGCAAGATCTTCAACGGAGAAAAGGCCGCTTTATTTCTCCGAAGTCTTCCTGATGACGAATTCAATAATATTGGGGCAATTTGCACTGAGGCAGACTTCCAGGACCCAATCGCTCTGCTTGGCAAATTCAAGTTACAACATCCATCGAAGACTGAGAATGCTAAACTATCATTATTTTATGCTGCAACTCAAGGTAAGGATGAGACGTTCTCGGCTTGGGTCACGCGCGTATAACGAATCAATAAAGAATGTAAATTCAATGGCATTCAGAGAATTATTAAGAAAGTTAGAGTATCTTCGAATTCCAAAGATGTCAGGAAAGCGGTCAAGGCTCTATGACTATAGAAGACCAAGGATCCAAACCGAAACGAATATCGGTTCAGGTTCGGATAAAAATAATGGTTTAAGGTTCAGGTTCGGTTCGCAAAAAATAAAAATATCGGTTCGGTTCGAACCTCTAAAAACCGGTTTGAACACATTTGTATTCAAACCTACATTAGGATTATGTATCAGGAAAATTTTTTTTTTATTTCATAATTAAAATAAAAACCATTATTTTTATTAATTGCACATTATAAAATAATATTTAATTTATAAATATAACAAATAAATATATCAATGATTAATTTAAATATGAACAATTACTTAAATTTTATTTATTAAGCTGCACAATTAATATATTTTCAAAATTCGTCTCACTCATATTACATCTATAAGGAGATAATATAAATTTAACACACTAACTTGGGTAGCTGGCATTGCCAGTAGTATAATCCTGCATTTACAGTTAGAGCGAATTTGCGGTGAAGTATATAAAAGTACCCAGCATACGTGGCCACGAATTCGTGCTATCTATGAATGCAGGGTGACCTCTCATTGATAGTTAGCTACCAATTTGCGGTGGAGAATACAAAAATAGAGTGTATTTTTTATACTTCTTGAATTATCCTAACTATAAATGAGGGATGTTGAGCTTGAATCTTGGGTGAATTGCTGCAATAATACTGAGTACGTGTAATGAAGAAAATTCAGATTAAGAATTTATCCGTTTTCCGTTTCTGATAAGATAAAATCTTATGGAGCTGAAAAAAAAGATAAAGGGTTTAATTTATGTCATTGTGATTTTCTTCCTCTCCACTTCTTCGTTATTTCTTGATTCAATTCAAATGTTTGACTCAAATAATTGTGTTCAAATCAAATACATTACAAATAATTTACTTTAAGCCTAATTTTTAACATGAATTATGTTAGAGAAATATAAACCTTTTAAATTTTGATTTCAAAAATAAATATGAAAATTTTACTCCATAATAAATTTTAAGGGTTATTTATGAGTAAATTTTTACATATTATTTTTAGGGTAAATTAATTTTATTATTAGAATTTAAGTTTTTTTTTATAAAAATAATACACATTTATGTTAAAAAACATATTTTCGAAATTAAATTTAAAATAAGGAATTTACTATTTAAAAACATGATAATTATATTAAAAATTTAAATTTTTTATTGCAATTTTTCTAATTATTTAAATTTAATAACTAATTATTTTATTGTTATAAAGAATAGAAAATATTTATGGTAAAAAACGTGTTTTCGATCTTAAATTTAAAATAAAATTTACTATTTAAAAACATGATAATATTTAAAAAATTTAAATTTAACGTGTTTCGACTTAAATTTAGAGATAAGTTATTTTCCAATAAAAATTGATAGATATTTTTATTAAAAGGTTCTTTTCATATATCCAGATATCTTATATTATTAAGCATCATTACACATTTTTGACCATATTTTTTTCTTTTATATTATTAGGAAGCATATTTATACCGAAGAACTTCAAAAACTTGGATTAATTTTGGCCAATAAAATGAATCCAACGTGAAAGAGATTTATTTCAATCACGAAAACTAGATGGCGAGCTCTTGCTTGTGTGCCAAATTTTTTAATTATAATTTATGAATATCTAACACCACTAGCTGTTAGGCGTAATATTTATACGTTGCCTAAAGAGGCAAAATCGCAATAGGCCGAAAAAAGGAAGTGTGGAAGAATGACAAAGACTAAGAAGTCCTTAGCCCATGTCATGGTACAACTTATTTTTGATATTTATTAAACACTCTATTTTGGTTTGTTTTGAGTATTTGGTGGCATTTTTTTTTCTTGTATTTATTTTCGTTATTTTTCTTTTAATCTTCAGGCTGTTTAGCCAAAGCTATAGCCAGATGTTTAGGAATAAATTCAACTGGTACACTCCCCTAGTCCCGCAATAAATTATGATATTGTGAATGTTAGTTTTTGAAACCTTTTATTTTTGAAAAACTTTATACGTGAACGAGTTCCTTTTTTGTCGAACAGGTTGATGATTTACGCTCGTTCAATTTAAAAAAAATCTGATTCTTCATTTGAAAAAATAATATATTAATTTAATATTAACCCGAATTTTTATAGAAAAGGGGTTATTTTTTTAATTAGCCGTTTCTTTTATCACATTTGAATTTTTTAACCCACCACCACTATTTCTATCCTATAGTAGAGTTTATTAACTTGTATATTTTTATTATATGGATTAGCATAAGCTTGAATGTTATAGCTTCATTCGGAAAACATGGCTGAAAGATATTAAATGCTTTACAGTAACCTCCTAAATTGAAGAAATAAATTCTATAACTACAAAATGTAAAATGTGCCCAAAGAAAGAAAAAGAGAAAGAAGTTCTAATTTAAAGATTTGTAATATTTTATATAATATAACAATAAGTCACCAATTAATAATTTTTCTTATATAGTTGTATTTCATAGGCTTGTTAAATTATTATATTAAATACATATAGTAAAAATCTCTGACTATTTTACATTATATTCTATACATAGATATTAAATAGTTAATACCTTTTAGAGTTTATTTATATTTAGTGTGATTCTTTGAAATTATAATCTAATCACTAATATTTTCAACAAAATAAAATTACTAATTTTGAAATTGCTAATATATTATGTTAAAGAATATGGCTTTTAATTAATTTAAATGAATGGAATAGAATTTTTTTTAATTTTGATAATTGAAATTTAAAATATTATTTTGAATAATTATTTATTATTTACGCAAATAATATTTAGGTGACATTTTGTGGAACAATTAATGCCATTTTTAAAACATTGGCATCTCTTATTGTTGCAACTTTTTTGGCAATTGCAAATTGATTAACAATTACCATAAGAAGATGCACTTCTTGATGCTGTTATTATGGAGATGATAAATTTTATTGATTTATGAACGTTCGTTTTTAAAAATGGGGAATCAATTTTCAAATTAGTTCCAACCCATAATTTCTCGCCCTCCTTTTGGATAATTTCGACTTCAATATTTCTGGGGCATAGATTTTAAATTTATCTAGAAAGCTTTGAATGCAAGTAAAAGCATTCCTTTTTTACAGGTAATTAGATTTTTTAAACGCGTACTATTTTTTAAACGCGTACGATTTTTTAAGAAATGTTTGCGGCACTTATAAATCATAACATAATTTTAAATAAATTAATCATTCCTAAAATAAATTATATAAGATATTTTACTTTTTAAAAATATACCAACAAATTTGGTAGGGGAAGAATGTATCAATGTTTATATTTAATATTCCCTCTCCACAAATGTGCCATACAGTGAGTTGAAAATTAGAAGTAATATAGCTATTGAAGTAATGTAAATCCATTCCCATCTCTCAAAAAATACAGTAAAACTGTTGAAACAATCGTTTCTTTAAATTTTGTTTTTAGTATTTATTTTATTTATATTTTAGTATCTATTAATTTAAACGATTTATTTTCTTAATTATTTTATTTTTACTAAATAATCTATTAACTTAAAAATAACTTTTATTTTTTTTTGTTAAATGTATTTAAAATTTTTAAAATCGTTTATATATTTTTTTAATTTGTATAGAACTCTATATTAAATTTGTGAAATTATTTTTAAAATATATTATAAATAAAGGATATTCGGAAGAAAAAAACTTGATTATCTATATATATCAAATTTATTGATATAAAAATTTATAGCCCCCTTTTTAAGAAATACACAATGACATTATTATCTGTTATTGCCACATCAATGAATATGATACTATGTCAACCTGGCCTATCTAATATCGTATCGTCACCTAAAAAGTGTCAGATCTGACATGACAAAGTCGGACGTCGTTTATGTAATGATGGTATAGTCATCTTCTATAGTTATAACAGAATTTTCTCAAAGTTTCTTTCGCAAAATGATAAAAAGTGCAAATCCAAAGATAAACAAGTTATTTATAATCTTTTTAAATTTTTTTTCCCGTTTCTATTATTCATTTAATGAGCTAATAACCTCAAAATAAAACAAAAAAACTATAAAATATAAACACTATTTTCTTATTATATTGTTTACTTTGAACTTTTTGCCAATATTAGAAATTTAATCTTACTAAGGTTCTATCATATCTATAATTAAATGAACCATCAATAGGGTGAATTTTTATCAAACAGTAAATGCTAATTCACAGCCTTGGTATATCTTGTAAGGGGTTGTGGAGTGCTCATTTAATTGTGAAATTGCCCCTTTAGTGTACAATAATACAATAAAAAAATATATACACTAATATAATATTGATTTGTTTCAAACATTCAATTTTCATGAATTATTATACTTGGTTAAATTTATTTAGTAATGAGGAAGAAAAAGCTCACATGGATAAAGAAACTGTAGACAAATGGTATCTTTCATTTTCAAATGTTGAAGAAATCAGTTATGATGATTCATTAAAATTAAATAATTATTCTCACGCTACACATTGCATGATTTATGCACCTTACAATGTTTTAACTTTCAGTAATTACTGGACAAGAGCAGCAATTTTTGTAATTTTGTTTTAAATTATACCATCCATATAGATATTAAAATATATTTTTAATTTTAGATGCAGATTAGATTTGATGGGTTTTTGGGATTTCCAGGTGGTTTGGTTGATAAAAGTGATAAATCTTTTGAAATGTCTCTCATCAGAGAACTTGAAGAAGAAATTGGATGGGACTGTAAAAAGTGTGAAATACATAGACAAGATCATTTAGTATATTAAATTTTTTATTTAAAATATTTTATCAACTTGAACCCTCTTTCAAAATTATTTATTCTTATTTTCATTAGATGTCAAATATTATTAAAAATCAGGAGTTATGCCTACATTTCTATGTTATAAAGATTCAATACAAAGATTTTATGGAATTAGAGAAAAATTGTTTGACCGCACATGATTATGGAAAAGAAGTAATTATATTAAGCATGTTTATTTATATTCTATTAAATTATAAACCTAACAAGGATGAGTAATAAATGTTGTTTTTGTATTTTTACTAAATTTTTTAGCATCCTGTGAAATCTTTATAAATTATTATTGGTTTAAACAGAGTTGTTAAAGTATCGAGCTAGCCCACTATCTTTTTTAGAAGCTATAGCTAATATTGGCTACTTTTTTTGTAATTATTTAATTTTTTAGAGCGCTACTTTTTTTGAAAATTGCTTTTAAAAAAAATAATGAAGGTGTTAAAAATTTAAATATAATATCATAATTTTTATTGATTTATTATTTAATTTTGAAATTGAAATATATTTTCAATTTGTAATTTATATTTTAATTTGTATTATAAACCTAAATCATGTCTTAATAATTTAAAATGTTATCGTCTATGGATATCCAAATTGATGAAAGTGATTCAGACAATGATATTAATGAAATGGAAGATACCAGGGAAGACAATGTTTTTAATAGCTAATACAAATTTTCCATTCCTTAGATTTGAAAAAAAATTTTAAATAAATATAAAAACCAAAACTGGCTTCAAATTTATTTGTTTAAAATGTAAAAAAAATATTTCCTCAAATCAATCCAGTTATAACCTCAAGAAACACCTAAAGGTAAATTGTCATTTTTACATTCTAATAGTATTTATTTTATAAGACTGTTCATGCCAATTGTTTTAAGGAAATGGAGAAACATAAATAATTTTGGTATAGGTGACCACATCCAAAATGACTAATTCAAACCAAATTAATTAATAATTCAAATGCCAATATTTCTCAGAAATTGGCTGATAAAGTTATTGTTGATTTTATAATTGATACTATTCAACCAATATCCTTGGTTGATAATCCATCATTTACCATGATGATTAAAACTATTCCCTGGTACAACAATTTTATGTCGCCAGACACTAATGAATAAAATAGCAGATAACTTTAAAGTGATGAAAGATGCTCTAATAGTAGAGTTATCAGAGATATCATATATATGTACCACGGCAGATAGTTGGGCACATAATACAAAGTAAAAACTTATATAAAATGCAACAAATTACCATAAATATTTATTTTTATTACATAAATTTTTTTATAATTAAAACTAACTATATTTTAATATTTATAAATGTTGATTTTTATATATTCACTACACAATAACATTATAAGCAAAAAATAAAACAAATTTGTTTCTTAATTTTTTTTTATAAAAAGTAGCTATTTTAAGTTAGCTCATGAATTGCAATTTTTAGTATTAGAGGGTCAACTTCCACAATACAAAGGAATCGAAAAGAAATAATGATTTATATTTAAAGGATAACTACATCTATCGATCTAACAATAAACTTCTCGATGTTAAATATTACAAATTCAAGTTTTAAAAGTTACAAATCTAACAATAATGATTACACAGGGTCATTGCTCTTAAATCCATTGTATCGAAAATCTTATTGATTTTACTAAAAAATTCATTCATTATTTTTTCTAAATACATTTTAACATATTGCCCATATAAGAACATAATGGAACCAATATTGGCATTGAAAACTACATTGCCTTTTTACTTCAAATTTGTGATTTCAAATTGGCTTCCAATAACGTTCTCTTATGTAATAAATTAAATGTGGTATATAATATAATAAAAATCCTTAGAGCCCACTACAATTGTTTCATTTCCTTTAAAATTCATTTAGTAACCCCAACGTTTAGGATTAAGTAAGGTGTCAAACAAGGCTTCTCCTTTGCTGTTTAATTTGGTTATGAAAAATTATAAAAGATACATTAGGTTATACAAACTTATTACGACTAAGGTCCAATGATATATGGCACTTAGAACATATGGTGATTCTTAAGCTGATATAGTTATGATAATAAAGAGTTTGGATGAAACTATCTGATCCAACACTTTAAGTTAGACACAAAACATTTCCTAAAACTGAACAATAAAAGATGGATAAACTCCAAATCAAATAACCTAAATTAATCTTAATCTTAAAATTTTTTCCCATAATACAGATTAGTTTTTGCTATTACTATTATTTTTTAACCCCCATCCATCGCACCTTTTATTTGAAGACCTGCCCGAGCTTCGGGCTCAGAATTGTAGACATTTTTTATATTAGAAATATTCTCAATGATCATTTTGATTTAGCGAAAAACAATTAACCACGTGTTATTTTAAAACTTACTAATTCATTTGCATAATTTACATCTGAAGAAAGGAGTACTAGTCTGAAGCCTGATACTCTTGAGTTATCAGACCGGATTCTTTTGATCTGTCTATTTAATAACTTCATTATTATTATATATAGAGATCTGCAAAGTTATATTTAAAATAATCGGGTTTGGGCCGGGCCTAATATTTTTAAAAAAAAATCGGGCCGGGTCGGACCTTGGAAATTGTTTTAAATATATCAAAATTTATTAATTTTATATTGAATTTTTTATGTAAAATAAAAAAATTTGGTTTTATTTATTGAAATTATACGCCATATAACATGTATTTTATTTTGAGTAATTATAAAAATTAATTTCTATATTTAAATTTCGGGCCGGACCAGGCTTGAAAATTTAGGCCCGATGCAGATCACTAATTATATATATATATAAATTATATAAAATGTTATACTTGGTTTCGCAACTTTATTTGGCAATTGATAATAGTATATTCATGGTGGTTAAGTATACTTTTATTTAAGGTAGCAATATGTGAATAAATATACACATAATTTTTCATTCTATATTAGAATATTTAAACTCAAATTCCAAAATATTTTTTATCTTATAAATTGTAGTTTTGTTGAACGGCTCGATTCGAAGCGATTTTTAAAAACGGCTGACTCAATATTTTAGTCAGAAAAATATATCTAAGCCTCGGGATTTCGTTATTAAGGGTTGCATAATATTTTTGCTAATAAAATATTGAGTTAGCTATTTTTAAAAATCGGCTCAAAATGAGTCCTTTAACCACACTATAAATTAGTCCTTAATTAAAATCTTTAATGCATTTAATTTTACAAATAACAGGTAATGGGCTTTTGTAGGGTTCCTTTATACACAATGAATGATGGATATCGAGGTTTTCCAGCTTTTTTAAATCAGAATTTTATCGGGCATTCTAAATATCAACTACTCAAATCCTTATCTTCTACTGGTATAATGAGCGATTCTGAGATTAAACAAGCCTCTTCGCCCAATCCTTATTCCATAAAAATATCTCACACAAATAAATGAACTTAATATTCTAAGGGCTAAATATAATAGAAAATTTTTTTTGCAATACAATTTTATTAATTTATGCGAGATATGTGTAAAAAGAAAAGCTTGGATAACTCCTCAATTTCACAATCATTATTTATGAAAATAAGTTATTATATCACGTGATAAAAAAATTCCATAAAGCCATAAATTTCTATGCTCAAGCAAGCATTTTTTTTTAAATGTAATATATTTGATTTTCCTATTTATTTAAATTATATTTTTGATAGTAATAATTTTTTTGAACTCATTATTATATAAATAAATTTTTATAACTTTGGCTGAAAATGTATTATATTACCCGTTATATTAAATATCATTATTTTTATTTATTGAAAATAAATAGCCTAAAAATAGTATGTAACGCAAAACGACTATATTGAAATGATATAAAATATTACAAACACATAAAAATATAAACTATTTACATTACAGTTGCCAATATAAATTTTCTATACATTTGTTGATATTCTTTTTATAAAAAACTGTAACAAGAAACTTTTGTTAATTATCTAGTCAGTAGAATATCTTGATTAGAACTCTGTGCAGTTCAACTGAGTAATTATATATATATTGGTGGATCTGTAATGGATTCTTTAGTCTGGCTAAATCTTAAAATCCCTTAGTCCGGCAAATGTTTTTACAATTTGTTTAAAGTGGTAGAATATAAATTTAAGAATAAATATTTAGCCCTTTTAAATAGATAACTAAATTAGATATGAAGTTGGGCGGGCTTGGAGATTTTGGAAAAAAAACCTTGAACAAACATGATTGGATAAATATCTACATTTTAAAAAGAAAGTACAAAGTTAAAAATGGTAATAAAAGAAATTCCACAAAATAAAAAAATACACAGGTTTTAAAAAATTTGTGGCTATATTACTTAATCCCTAAACATTTTATTATCTTAATTTAAAGTACAGTTTCGTGCAGGGCTCTGATTTAGACAAAAAGACCAAAAATTAATTTAAATAATTTGAAAAATACGAGCTATTATTATAATTTAATATTTCTATGTATAATTATATATTATTATATAAAGTCTTGTAAGAGAATATTTATTTAAATATACGGTGTAGGTCTCGAAAATTATTTATTATTGTACTGATGTGAGTAGCACATTATTTTTTTTTAAGTCAATCTTTGAACGCTCCAGATTAACCAGCTTTTTGCCAATCAAATATCTATAAAGGGGGAAAAAAATTAAATATCTATCTCTAAATATTTCCTATTAGATATAAATGCCTGAACTATTAGGATAAATTAAACAATATTAACAAGAAAGTTCCTCCTAATATAAAATCCCTTCTATGTTGTATATTAGTTATCGATTTCACCTGAAAGCTTTTATATTTAACCATATAAAATATTTGATCGATTTCTTAAAGAATTAAAACAAAAAAAATTAAATACGAGATGAATTTTGAGATATGTCAAATTAAACGAATATAATCAAATTAATTGGTCAAATTTTTTTATTAACCTTTCATCTTTTATGTGCTGATATAATTTTTTGAGCTGTTTGATTTGGTAGGATAAAAAGGAAAGCATAAGTAAAGCTGAAAGCAAGGACGGATAAATATTTTTTTCCAATCGACTTCTATTAATCTCGCTTAAGCCTTTAAAAAATATATATAATAGTTTTACAACATAAGGGCTAAAAATAAAAACAATGTATCAAGATTGATACCTGAATTAAAATTGAGAGCCTATAAGGATAGGTAAGACATTTCGAAATTATGCCTATTATTATGGTTTTAAGTTATAGTGATACGAAAGAAAGAATAATATTCTTAATTTTTTTATATTCCTGAGCCAATATAAAAACCGATGGATTAGAATAACTTAATATTCGTAAATTGAGACTTAATTTGCATGATCATGTAAATAAAGGGTATTGATTTTTATTGAAATTCGCAAACTATAACGATTATTAATTTATAACGGGGGATGATTATTACACTTGCATAATTTTTCTGGTAGTCGCCTTGAGGAAGCAGAAAATCGATTTAAATTAAATGTCGTGTCACTCTTACGAATGCAAAAAAGTAATTAAAATTTCCTTTACCAAATAAAGTAGCCACTCCATGAGCCACCACGTAGGGTAAGGCTAGAGCGGTCCCCAGCCATTTAAGGCAAGGCCAGGCTAAGCCGGTCCAAACGGGTCCTGTGAGTGCGGTAGAGGTCGAGGACATGGTGAGTAAATTTTCGTAAAGCCTTCGCAATTCCGGTCTTAAGGCATCACCAGAGGGAGGGAGCACGAGACTGAGAGCTACGCAGGATTTGACTAGTAGGAGCCCAAGCATCCAGTCCTGGCAGGTTAATTAAAACATGTTTTAATTTTTTTTAAAAATTTGTAGTAATATTATTCTACTTTATATTTTAACGGTCTTTTGTTTATAATTTTATATTATCTATTTGTATATTGTTTTACGGTTATAAATCAATATTCAAATGTTTTTTATATCCAATTAATTTTTAGCGAAAGATATATATATATACTGAAAAATTGTGAAAAAGATTATTATTTTACCACCACTTAAATAAATATCTTGTCTGAATCGATGATTAAAATCCCTATGTTTACTTTAATAAATTATAGGAAACTAGCTTACTAATGCCTTAATTTTAAATAAAGCACTTTTATAAATTAATATATCAAATACTAAAAAAAAGATAGCATTTAAATATATTTTTAAAATGAGCCTTCCTTCATTTAGATTATAGTTATATGGTCCATTATTAAATACTAACCCTGCCAATACCTAGTCTATATTTTTTGTTCAAATCAGTCGAATGCATATGGCGATTTGAAATATTATTCATATTAGGATAAATTTAATTAATGCAAAAGAAGATCCATTGAGAATGAGTTGCTTACCAAGGTTATTTTATTCTTAAGGTGAGTTTGCATTTAAAAAAAACAATGTCATTAATCCGAATCATCATTATAAAGGGTTAATCGGAGTGGTGACACAAAGATCATAATTCAATACAAACCCATCCCGTTTTACCCAAAATTTTATTTAATAAAATAACTAAAATACATTTTAAAAAATATATATCATTTAGGAGCAAAACCTGAGACAAGAGTATAAGGGCTGTCCGATCTCCAGGCACTCGCAAAGGCACGACCAAGCAAAGATCCAATAAAAGCCCGGCCAATAAGGGTATACACCCAACAAGTATGGAGATGAAAAAAGTGAGTTTCAAAATCTTTATCAAAGTTGAAGTTAGACGTCGCCAAAAGGTGCCCAATATTTCTTGCAGGTCTTCGTGATTGTTGATAGAAGTTATTCCATCGGTACTATAAAAACATCACATTTTTTTTTTAAATATATAACATACTATATTTTACAAAATTTGTGTAATATGAAATCAAATCGAATAGTAATTATTCGTTTTGTTCAAATACGTTTAAAGAATTATTAAAACTTGAAGAAAAAAAACAAATGCGTTTTTTTCGAATCGAATATTCCGAATAATTATCAATATATTTAATAAAATTTTATCATTTCTAATCGATAAGCGATCAATCTGAGGGTTGATATGATTAATAAGGTATACAACAGCTTGTGAAAGACTTATCTTAATTGGAACTACTAATTTTCTGTCAAAATATCGCATATCTTAATAAGAAGAAACAATAAGAAAAACTCTTTGCCTTAAAAATTTTAATTTCGTTAATAACTGGATCGCGTGTTCTTTATCATCAGATTAATTCTGTAAGATATATTTTATTATGAATTATTTTATATTTTTTAAACCTAATTCACTAATTTCATGTTTTAATAGCGTTAATACTAAACTCAGGAGAGAATAATTGAGTTTAAAGTTTTTGTTTGATAATCATATGAAAGATTTTGGATGATATTTCTTCCATTTTAGCGATTTTTTTAAATTTTCAATTAAATACAAGTGTTTAGTCCCCTATATCTATTAATATGAATTTCAAATTTACTTTAAAAATTTTCTAGGAGATATAAGCCAGGTTCCCAATTTTTAGCGATTTTTGTTTTAGCGATTTAGAACGGGAACCAAAATTTTTGGCATAAGTGACGGAAAATTTACACTTACTTGTCTCTAAGCCACAAACTTGACAATTGTGGGGATAGTGTTCCTTTATTATAGTCCGTTGCGGTGGTTATCTTCCATTTTTGCAATAATTTAACCTAGGTTGAGTCAAATTTCAGATAGAACCCAACATAATGTCAAGAAATTGGCTTAAGACTTTTTTCAGTTATTAACTAGTATTTATTAGTGCAATAAAACTCTAAAATGTCATCTATATTTTTCCCCATATTAGGAGACAAAGTTGGACTATCTATGACAGTCTTGATTGAATTATAAGATATTTGAGGTGTATCCTCATGGATTTTTGATACCTGGACAACTTTTATTTTGGTTTTGGCATATAGGAAACTAATGCAATTTTATTTTTACGTTCTCCCTTTAACCTTGTACAAGATGAATTATATTTTGACCAAATCTTTTCTGAAATGTTGAATGGCTCTGATAAATATGGCCATTTTTTCTATCTATTTTTTTAAGCAATAATCAAATACAAAATATCCTAATTTTTCAACCAAAATCATGTTCCTTAAATATCAATTTTCTATATAAAAAAAATCCCGTATCACAAATAGAAAATTAATCAGAATTGTCCTCAAAAGAATTTTATTAAAACATTATTAAAAAAAATAACTCTGCTACAAATAAAATATGCATTTTTATTCTTTTATTTTTAAAAAATGCATATTTTTAAATAACAATAAAAATGATACGTGTATTTTTTTTAAAATTTCCATATATGAGTGGTGGGAAATAGTTAAAATCAAACTTTCTAAAAACTATGCGTCTAAAAGCCTCAGGTTTAATCAATTAGAGTTTAAAAAAAACGAATAATTAGAATCGAATACAAATAATAAATTTTCGTGCAAATTCGAGTAGTAAATTATTAGATTCGTTTAAATTAATTGAATACGAATATTTATAAGTTTTTCGAATTTTATCAATGCAATAACTTAGGTTAGGTCTATTAAACCACCTATAAAAAAAATTTCGGATTGGGTTGAGCCCCACATTTAAAAATTTGATCCTAACCAGGCCTCCAAAAAAAACAGCTCAGCCTAAAATAAATTAATATGAAGAAGAATTATATTTAAAAAAAATTTAATAAGATTTTTCTAGGTGATTTTGTTGGCCAGTAGTACAAAATCTAGCTATTTTTATAGGTATATTAAAATTCTTAACTTTTTTATCCTTTATAGTTTTTAGCATAATATATTCGCCTAAAAAATGATCTAATTATATATAACCTTGTATTATTTTCATGGCTATTCACATTGGTAGACGCATTAAGATTGCTACTATCATTATTCATGAGGTCCACATTGACATTTTGATTCATATTGATATTTTGAGGCTCAAATTGTCTAAAATATCTCCACATAAACCATAAAAAATAGGTTCCAGCCAAAGCGGTGTATAGATCTTGAAAATCTGTTTCGGTTTGGCCTAACAAATTTAAATCTTCTGCTGTTGGATATGTTGTGGTGTTGTTAATATGTGAGATTGAGGAGTTATGGGTAGTCCCGTTTATTATATTTTCGTTGTTGTATTGGTAATATGAGTAAAGGACGTGATCGGAGGATAAGAGTAAGTAACTACCAATATCCCAAGGGAAACGCTTGACTATAAGGCGACCCAAGAAAACTGTAAAAAAAAAAAATTATATTAGTTGAAGATTTGGTGGTAGGATAAGATAAAATTCCATCGAATATTTAAATATTAAAAAATCAACCTAATTAATCCGAAATACCAAAAAATATATATGATGCAAGTGCAAGGTTTATAAGATTCGTAAAAATATAAATTAGTTTAGGAAACAATTAGAAAAGTTTGGGAATAACAGTAAATGGAGTTCTTGATCAGATATTCTTTTAAGTTTTTTTCCCTTAGTATTATATTTTCAGCGACCTATCCAGGTCCAATCAAACCAAATACGGGCTGGTGTTCAGACAGACATTCTCTCAAACTCGGCCAGATAATTGGTTTTAAAATTTTAAATTCTCATAAATATTTTTTTCCAAGAATAACACCGGAAGGTATCTTATTTTTCAATAGTCCAATAATCATTCTTTAATTTTTTTCAGATCAAATCAGACCTATTTCTAAAATAGAAATTATCAGATTTGAATCGAGAAGAAAAAAAATTCCTCTGGTCCTTTAAAAATCGGTTCCGATCCATGGCTTCTAATTTTAGTCTAGAATGAAAATTAAAGTAATATGCTAATCTGAAAAAAATATGGAAATTACCGGGCAAGGTGAAGAGCATAAATGACGATGTAACAATGGTGAGAGCTATAGTTATTATCAAGGCAGCTATTCTTAAAGGAAAATAGGTGGGCCTATTATAATTCAGCCCGGGAACAATGCGGGGGTTATTACTTCCGCCATTATTTTTAGGTGGTTCTTCCTTATTTGAATATATTTTATCCGTTTGGTCAAATTTTGTATCGTAACTCTTGTTGGATTCGTTATTTACTACATCGTTTTTCTCGCCATTATTTGTGATTTTACTGGTATTGCTAAGATTTATTGGATTTCCTTCATTATCATCTGATATTCGGTTATGGCTAAATGACAGAGAATCGTCATTTATATAATTGATATTTTCGTTATTCAATATGTTTCTACTATCACTGATATATTTAACACCATTTGTGGGTATATTCGCTTCTTGTTTATTGTCATGATTATCATCAATCGTTACATCATTCAAGATCTCATGATCGTTCGTTATCCAGGCAGATGATGTCGAGGCAATCTGTGATTCGTCGTTTGTTATGCTAGAATCAAAGACTTGGGAAATTTCGTCAGATTTGTCAACATTTTCCGATAGCTTTTCAGAATCATTATCCGGTTTATGGCCTTTTTCTTTCTCGAAAGCTTTCTCCGATTTACCCTTTTTATTCTTTGGTTGCGTCCGCTTATTTTCAATGTTTTCCGTACTCGTTCGAACATGACCGACTGTGGGATTTCCTAGGAGATAAGAAGTAAGGCCTAGCAGTTGTCCTACATGACGAGCCCACCATGTTATAAGGAGAGTGCCATAATGTCGAGCTCTATTTTGTTCCATCAGCGAAGGAATAACTACGTGGAAAAGAACTAATTCCAAAGGTAATTCGGCAAAATAAGAGTCACTTCAAGAAAAGTTTAATCAGAAATATTTATTTAAAAATTGTATAAAAAAAAAATTCAAATTAGATTGGTTTAGTTAGAAAGATGAGGGATTTAGGAAAATCCTATTATAAATATTTTAAGTTATTTAAATAACTTTCTGTGTAAAATTTAAATAATATAAGACCATTTCCAAACAGAAAGTTTTTTTATAAGCGATTTTCATGTGTTTTATTAAAATATTAAATAGCGTAGTAATTTAATTCTTATATACAAAAATTTTTAATTATTTCGAGTAGGGTCTGTGGCCGAGTCGGTTTAGTACCTATATCACGATTCGATAGTTCTGAATTCGAATCCAGCAAGGGTCATTTTTTTTAAAGCTAACTTGGTGGTTCCTTTCTTGGGGGGGGGGGGGTGATATATAGTAAACTCGACCACGTGATTCCGTTAATATATAATAAAAAATAAATCGGTCTTATTGCATCTTAATAAATCTTGGTCGTTGTTTAGCAAGTGAACTAATGTCATATATCATTACTCCATGTTTCCAGCTAATTTTTTTATTTATTTCCAAACAAAGGGTAATAATTTGTCGAATTAATTTTTTAGCATAACAAAATATTTTTTAAAAAAAGACATATTGCAATCTCTCCCAGACGCCATTTAATCTTTAATAAAAAAAACAACGAGTTTTATTTACATTAATTATTTAATAGTGGGAAATTTATATTATGAAAAAAAAATTAATTCAACAAAATATTGTATTTTGTTTAACAATAAATAACAAATTTGCCTAAAACATGCTATAAAACCGCTTTGAAAAAACGTTGACTGGAAATCGCCTAACATAGTATAATGTTGTGGTTGTGAGAATCGCCAATAGAGTACTGATTAACGTTTGATATAATTGTAAGCGTGCGGAAATGAATGAATGATACACTGATTAAAAAAATATATACTTGCACGCATACAATTATATTAATGACAATCAATACTCTATTGACATTTCCTGCAACTACAACACTTCCCCCCCCTTAACTAAACCCTCTCACTGAAATTCAATCAAAGTATGACTCCTGGTCATTATCATTACTTAACTTATAATAATATTTAGCTTAATATTACAGAGACTAGGTAATTTTTGAATTTATAAATCCGGGCCAAAATAAAAAATCTGAGCTGGCCATAATATTTTGCATAATATCAGAGAGACTAGGTATCCAATTCGTTTATTTTATAAATATTGCTTTGTTTAATTTTCACTAAACCTGGGTTTGGGATAAGTCCATAACATTATACATTATATTATTTATTAGTATTAATTAATCATTTAAGTTTTTGTTAGGTTTAATATTAATAAAGTACTATTTTATTTTGAAAATTTTTATTTGGAAAAATTTTACAGGAATTTTTGACGATTTCCTCAAAAAATATTTTAGGGATTTTTTTCCGGGGATATTTTTTCCTATATTGTTAATTTTATAAAAATAATTTAATATTTTATAGGATTTAAAAAATAGGGGAATTTTTTTCCGGGGAATTATTTTCTATAGGAATTTTTTCCCGGGGAATTATTTTCCAAGGGAATTGTTTTCCGGGGATTTTTTTTTCCGGAGAATTATTTACCTGGGAATTCTTTTCCTGGGGATTTTTTTTCCAGGGAATTATTTTCCTAGATTCATCTTCTATGTTGTATGTGAACCATTTTATATATTTTTTATCTGACATAAAAATTCGAAAGTGGTAATAAATGATTAACTACTTAAACAAATGAGTTGGTTCGTAGATGTATAATGATTTATATTTGATAAATAATATTACTATGAAGATATAAAGTTGAATGGCAAAAATTTTGGAAATAAGAATCGTATCAGTTGAGTAGGTACGTAAACGCTTAGGGTGATCAATGATACAAACATCAACTGTAAATAATGTAATTATTAAATTCTATAAATTTTTAAAAGGGTAAAATCTAGAGTAAGTAAGGTGATCATATATACTATATAAACAGCCTTAAGTAGTAAATTTATATGAAAGTTTAATATTTAAAAAAAAGGCAAACTAATGCCCCTAAAATCATTCTTATGACACTATTAACTCCTTAAATATGAAACTATATATGTTATACGCTACTGTATATATCTTTTATCTAAATAACACTCACTTACCCAGGATAAGCAAAAACGTCTAAAGTGTTCCCGAACAGGGAATAGTATCATTTCCTTGATGGGGTTGAACTCAGCTAAAATAGCGGCCTGAATGGGAATACGTTGTTCTAGATTTTCATCTACTCCTTGAGCTGGGTTGTCGTCTGATTTTTAAATATATTGATTGACACAATAATATTTTTATTATTTTGTTAGATATTCCGTAACACATTTTATCACTAATTAATTTTTTTATTTTATTTTGAACATTAATATTCAAATTTTAACTTAAATAAATCTTTTATTATCAAAATAAATAAAATATTTATTATTTGTTTTACTCTATGAATACAAAATGTTTTACTCTATTATCATGAAACCCTTTCCAGGCATCGTGTATAACATATTTAGATCAAGAAGTCTATTAAAAACATTTTATTTTAATCGTTTATTAGATCATTTAAAAATATTTCTATTTAGTATTTAATTTCATATTCATTATTCCACATTTTTCACTTAATACTTATCTACAAATCTTTAACTCTGAGTTGAAAAAAATTTAAATAAGAAAAGACCAATAATCTCTCCTTTTTCCACTTATATTCAAATAGATAATTTAAATACATCACCATTAGCTCGGGCATTATTATTAAGAGCACCAGATGAAGCCCTCAAAAACCAGACGATCCCAGGCCTTAAGGCTTCCCGACAAATGGCCACACCAGAAGCGAAATAAAACACGTAAACCACCCCGAAAAGCCAGTGGGCTAAGGCGGAAGTGGCCGGATTAGTAGATAGAGTGACAAGACGATCTGAAAAAGAGGAACCAAACAATTTCTATTTTTTATTTTTATTTTAAAAACAATTAAAATTAAATAAAATAAATTGATAATTTTCAACTGAGTTATAACTTACTTAATAAGTATTAATCATTACTTTATAAATTGTTCTCATATATTATTATTATTTTATTCAACAGTAAGGGTCATCATTTATTATCAACTATTTAAACAAGAAAATGTTTGTTTAAATAAATACTGGAAGATTTAATATTTCATAAAATGGTTAAGGGAATGCTAAGCTAATATGGCATATTAAGATGTATAAAATTATGTTTTATAATACAAAATTATGATATTTTTTTGAAGATGGGTGTCATAATTAGCGTTTTTTTAAATTATTGTATATATTTTGTTTTTTTTTGTTAATTTATTATATGTATTTTTATCACGCGCAATAATCCGATTTGTTAACTTTAGCGCATTAATTTGTTTTTGGGATCGTGAGACTCATCATAGTCAGTTTTTATATATATAATTTGGAAAAGAAATTTTGTAAAATTAATGACATATTTTTTTGTTTCTTGTTTAGAAGAAAATAAAATTTTGTAAAATTAATTAATATTTTTTCGTGTGTTCTTGTTTGAAAAATAAAAATAAATTAGTTAATGTTCTAGGCATATGTTTGTTTATTTATTATTATTAAAATATTATTGATTTTTTTAATGTATTAAATATATGATTGATTTTTTTTATTGGTTTTAAAAAGAAAATAAAAGTTTGAATTTTGGAAAATAAAAAAGTATCTCAAAAGTATCATAAAAAAAAACTGAGATATAGTTTGGTAAATATGTATATATATAATTGAATAGTTAGAAGTATGTAAAGGTAAAAGTAAGAATTGTCTTAGTATATGAGATAATATAACTGAATATGTTGAAAATTCGTTTGGTTTAACAAAAATGTATATTGCAAGTCATTTTTTTGGTTTTATTAAATATTTGTTATTAAGTGAAGTGAAGTGAAGCATATCGTGGTTAATAGTTTTTTTTCTTGTGTTAAAAAAAAACAGTTGAGAGATAAAAGGAAAAGTTGAAAAGGGAAATTATTTTATAGTAATGTAGATTGTGTTAACTTTTTAAATTGATAGAATGTTAAAATAAGAAATCAATTTATTTGGTGAAGAATCGATAAAGAAAAAAATAAATTAAACAACTTATGGATTATTATTGAAAAAATGAAATTTATGCAGCAAGAGGTTGATTTAATGAAGTTTGGAAAATATATGTTTTGAAATAAATAATGAGGGTGGTGAGTGGATTAAAAAATGTTATTTGTTTATCAAATTAATTGTTTATTGTGAAAATAATAATTAAATATAAGTTGGAATAAAAAGAAAAGTTAATAAGGGAGTTTGTTAGTAAAATTGAAAAATGGTAAAGTACATTTTTAAAAAAAAAAAGAAGTTCGTGAGTCGATTAAAAAGGTATGTTTGTGAAAAATTGAAATGGTAAAATATATTAATTATTTTAAATTAATAATAAAAATAAATGAAAATTGAAGGATAGATTATTTTGTTTCAAGGAAAAATATAATCGTTGATTATGACTGAGGAAAATTCTATTTACAATGATTTCGATAATATTACACCAATGATTCAGAATAAGCGATAATAAGACCAACTATCAAACTATCCACAATGACGCGATAATCAACTTTCAAGTTCGGATGCAGCCAATCATTTAACTACCAACTTAGTGATCGATAATACGATAACTTTAGATGATGCAAAGCAAATGATCCATTATGCTATGATGTACTAACGAAATTGCTAAAGACCGATAACTCGACGATGAAAAAATGATGAACAATACGACCGATCAATTAATGGTGTCAACAACAATATGAAAATTGACATATTACAAAGAATAATAGTTTTTTTTTAAAAAAATTTTGAATTCGTGTCCTGAGAATGCCTCTTAAAAATAAGGGAGGTGTTCTAGGCATATGTTTGTTTATTTATTATTATTAAAATATTATTGATTTTTTTAATGTATTAAATATATGATTGATTTTTTTTTATTGGTTTTAAAAAGAAAATAAAAGTTTGAATTTTGGAAAATAAAAGAGTATCTCAAAAGTTAATAAAGTTATATTATTCAGGACGGTCTCGGATTTATTCCCAAGTTAAATTATTCAGGACGGTCTTTGATTTATTCCAAAGGGCACAACGTAAACAATGGGAAATATATTTTAAAAAAGTTACTCGACTGCAATGTATTTGGGGAAGCACGTAGCCGCAAGGAGACAGATCTCTTCCAGAGCAAAAAATGTAGACAATTAAAATATTTAGTAGAAGCCTTCGTCATTAATTATTTTATGAAGTTAGAGGAGCGTATAGCATAATGGCCTAAAAAACATCTATTCAGAGTACTTTATTGGACTCGATATTTTCTTTACATCTGTATCGACAATTAATAATCGGGCCATTCAATGTCAAATTGATCAAAAAATCATGATTTTCGGGTGACCCCTTTCGATTTTTACCAAATTTTGTATAAAAACAAGGTTCGTGTAACTAATATTTGGGGAAAATTTGAGCCTTCTAGCTACTGTTAAATTCCATATCAAATCAGTTCACCCACTCCAAAGCCTCATCCATTTACCAGGCAATGTTGAAAATGTTGTGATATGACCTTCTATATCATATCTTATTTAAAAAATATCATATAGGAACATTATTTATCATTTAAACGGATAAAATAAAATAGGTCATCTTTGTTTAAAATTTAATTTAATAGAAGCGATCCATTTTTCTATTATTTGGTTTATTTTTGGACAAAGGACAAATATTATTATTTTTTTTATAATTTAAAAAAAAAAAATTATTCATAAAGTTTTGAACGAAAGTCGTGAAGGCGTTCCTTTTTTTTGAAGATGAACTTTAAACGCGAATATGTTAAATTTCTGTTGATTTTTTAGAAAAAATTAACCACTATATATTAGTAACTGTCAATTTTTAAAATCATTAGTAATATTTTTTTCCGGTCATGGGTTACTTTATTTGAATATTTACTGATGATTTGATGAATTTTTTTATAAATAAATTATACCACCCCCTCCCCTTAAGAAAATTATTGGCTTTGCGCCAGAATTTGGGTATTATAATTTATTTTATTAGAAAAAGCGTTGTAAGTTAACACTTACTCCAAGATAGAATTTTATAATAGTTGTAAATGCATATCCCATAAAAAAAACTATAAAATAGAACTTCTTAATTTATATTATTATATTTTATAAGTTACAACACTTCTTAGCCTTGTAAATATATATAATTTAAATATTTTAATTATTTATTTATTTATTAATTCTTACCAAAGAGCAAATGTCCAAAAACCAACCACAAAAGAAAGGAAAGATAATGATCTCCAAAATGAGAAGTAAGCAAACTTTGATAATGATGTAGCAAACACCGAATACCATTTTTAATCTTAATATGAATATAAAAAAATTATATAACACTATTATTTTGTTAGATTGGGTATTCCCTGATAGTATAAACAAGATATTAAAATAAAAATCTAGGTTTTATGGGTGATCCTTATCATATTTTCAAGCATATACGAGCATATAATATCTGTTCCGATAATGTTAAAATATATAAAAATTTATTTCATCTTTGTTTTTAAAATTTTTATACAAATTTTTAAAAGAGAGTATTGTGGATTAAAATTATAAATTTTACAACTATAAAAATTGACTATCTCTTGATTGAGGAACCTTGATTAGTGGTTATAGATTCTATAAAGTATATTTGCATAAGTGTTGTATAGAAACAATTTTACGATTAATCACGTTATCTGTTTTATTTTCAAAAAAATCAATTTCTTATATTACGAAATTAATTGTTAATTAAAGTGATTAATCAATATTGCCCTCTAGGATATGTGTATCTACTATATTTTTTACTTGGAGTGATTAAAGAAAGCCGAGAATTTACGCCCAATTAGAAAGACTTGAGCTATAAGAACGTATCCAGTGTATATGAATATGGTGGCATCGAAATTGGTATTGGATATCTTTAATATAAAGACGTTAAATTTTTCAATCAATAAATATATATATAATATTCCTTTTTTCTTTCTAATTCTTCCGTGATTATAACTTTACCAGGGGAACCATAAATTTAAAACGTTAAACAGATTCGTATATTATATGATTCCCGGGATATCGTTAAGATCTATAATCCGGTCCAATCGGCGTGGGTGGGTGTAATTTTGTTCTGGACCAAAGATCGAACCGTGGAATTCGCTATTGGGATCCAAAACGCACCCAATGTTATAAGTGGGTTCTATTCAGCCCCAAATATTTCTTTATTAATTTTATCATATATAAATAGTAGTATATATGTTTTACAAGCTTCTTACCTTTTTTTCAAGTCTAAACACCTTGAAACAAAGTTTTCCGTAATGATATGGCAGAAAAGCTTGAAATTTTTTTTCCAAAAAAAAAAAAAGGAAAAGGATATATTATTAAAATATTAACTTTTAAAACATATTTGCCTAAACCAACTATGCCTAAATTTCCGTTATGCAATATATATATTATGGACAAAAAATAGGTATAATTTTCCCAATCATTAAATATATAATTTATTGTTTAATGAGAGTAATTTATTAGTTTTATAAAATGTGTTAATATTTAATAGCTTACCTTCTCAATATTCAATTTATAATTTCATTAATATTCAAAATACGTTTTATTGTTGTCTCTAAAAAAAATTTAAAGTTAGATGTTTTGCAGGTTACCGGCGACATAATACATGAACAATAATTAACAAACTCGTTATATAATCTTACAAGAGTTATTATTATTAATAAACTATTATTTATTTGCAAATGAGTTGTACCGAATAAGAATATGAAGAGAGCATTAAAAACGATTATCCACAAGGCATGTTCCTTTAATAATAATAAAAAATATATAAATTATATATATAAGTAAAATTAATTAGAAGTAAAATGAAAACAATAAAACTAAGTATACATTAATTAATTACATTTGCATTTAATTTGTTTTAAAAAAATTATAATTTGTACCAAGAAACTGTATGTCCCGTCAAGCCCCAAAAGGTTTTCCCAAGTTAAATCTTCGACGGCCCGATCCCAATCGATATTGTTCAAATTGAAAACTGATAGAAATACAAAAAAAAATATATTTCCATGTATTTTTTTTTTATAAATATTTATTATTATTCTCTACTTTTAAATCTTTCGGGTTTAAATCGGGTCTAAGAGGATTTTAGTTTCCGGATTTCTGATTTCGGTCGGGTTCCGAAATTCGGTCTTAACCATTTAGTTTAATTAAGATGACAACTATTTTTAATAATTTTTAAAAAAAAATAATTATTGTCTTAATAAAAAGTAATAATATCAAAAAACTTAAGTCGTGAAAAAATGATAATTGTTATTTATTAAAAAAAAATCATATTTCTCCCAAGGGGACCAGGAAACATAAAACATATTAAAAGGGGTTGACAAAACTTTATCTTATGAGACAACATATTATACTAAATTCCTTCTTTAATTATTTGATAATAGCTCAACTCATGGAATGTTCAACTGAAGAAAATTTTTTGACTTGGATGAGATATATTTAAAATTAAACAAGCTATCTGAAGTAAGGAGTAGGATTAAAAGTCAGAGAGATATGGGTTAGGATTAAGATGCGTGAAAAAAATGGTTTTTGATAAAATTTAATAAGTCTTTTTAACAATAACCTTTCAAATCTGACAGGTCATGTAAATTTAAATAAATCAGCTGTTGTAACGGAAATTTCCTTGAATTAGAGTATAATCATAATATTTAACCAACTCCATTCATTGAATCTAGGAAAATAATTCCTTGGTAAAAAAAATCCCCGAAAGATTACTCCCCGGGAAATAATTCCTCGGAAAATAATTCTCTAGGAAAAAAATCACCGAAAAAAAATTCCTACAGAAAATTATTCCCCGGAAAAAATTTCCCCGGAAAAAATTACCCCGGAAAATTATTCCCCTATTTAGAAAATTAACAAAATAGAAAAAAAAAATCCCCAAATAAAATATGTAAGATTTTTGAGAAAATCAACAAAATTAAAATAAATTCTTATAAAATTTTTCGAAATAAAATTTCCCAGATAAAATTGTTAAGCAAAATTATGAATAATAACTAGTTATTAATATTAAACCTAACCAAATTAAATTATTATTAATTAATCCTAACCAATATAATGTATAATGTTATGGCCTTATTCCGAACCCAGGTTCGGTGAAAATTAAACAAAACAATATTTGTAAAATAAACGAATTGGATACCTAGTCTGTGTGATATTAGGCAAAATATTATTATATGCTAAGTAATGATGATAACCAGATTTTTATTTTGGGTAGGATTTATAAATTTATACCATATTTTGACCTGGATATGCAGTACTTAAATTAAATCAAAATGTTTTTTAAATTCAAATTCCCTAGAAGACTTGAGGAATAATAAAACGAAAGTTAAATAAATCTAGTTCACCTATTTTCATCAACTTTTAGATATTATTGAAAAATCAAATTTTTAAAAAAAAAATTTATTAGGCTGCATTCAAAGTGGAGACTGATCCGTTTTTTACATCCGTTCCGTCAAAAGTAAATCTCATTAAATTTGATATATATTTATTTTCATTTTTAAAAAATTATAAGTAACTTTATAAGCTCTATAAAATTTGCCGGATCAAAAAGTCATGTTTTGACTTCAAAATTTGCCGGATCTTTTTTTAAGACGGAAGGTATCGGAACGGATGCACTTTGAACATATATATCATTTTTAATGAGATTGACTTTTGACGAAACGGATGTAAAAAACGGATCCGTCTCCACTTTCAATGCAACTTTATAAAAAAAATATTTATTTATACACAAATTATTTTCCATAAAGTTTTTAGAAATATATTAAAAATTTAAATCATTGCCTTCAAAAATAGTTAATAAATTTTTTATTTTGTTATGTAATATATGAAGTCTTTTGCTGATAATTTTTAGAATATAAAATATATTGTGTTCTATATGACACAAACTTGATATTTGTCATTAGTTGACGAAAATAATTAAAATTTATAATCAGATACAATTTTTAAAATCAATAGTATTGTATTAACATAAAAAATTTCCATTTTTTTATTTTTGTCTGGGATTCAGACTAATATAAACGTACGTAACAGAAGAGTGTTCTAATATTCATATTTAATGTTATATATATCTATTATTTAACCTTAGTGGCGTGTGGGTTTGAAATACCCCCCCCCCTCTTCATTGTAAATATAATGAGGTTAAATGATCTGTTTTTATAATATATATTGAAATCCAGGTGAAAAGTAGATCATAGAATTAATCTCCTTCTTTCTAGGAAAAAAATTTGTTTTCACTTTTAAATTGCAACCATAATTTTTATCTATTTCTATAAAAATCTATCATATTTTCTTTCCAAGATGTCACAAAATCTACACTTTCATGCTATCTACTAAATTATAAAGTATCAAAGCTACCAATCGATTTATAAATTCTTATATTTTAAGATTGCCCTTTATCGCTTAGAATTAAAACAGAAATAATGCTCAAAAAAAATCCACAAACGTCGAGACTTAATATATTTTTTTAGAAATGTTTTCGTTAATTAATCTGCAGGGTTATATTTGATAATTTTAAAAAAAAATTATTCGGAGAATTTTTTTCCGGGGATTTATTTTCCCCTATATATTAAATTTAAAATCTAAAAAATGGCGAATTTTTTTCCGGGGAATAATTTTCAATGGGAATTATTTTCCAGGGGATATTTTTTCCTGGGATTTTTTTTCTGGAGAATTATTTTCCAGGGAACTTTTTTCTAGGGAACTTTTTCCCGGGGAATTTTTTTCCTGGGAAATTATTTTCGGAGATTTTTTTCCGGTTTTTTTTCCGGGGAATTATTTTCCGCTTACCCCATTCATTACATGCTTATTTAACGTTAATATTCAATCAAATTCGGATATATATTTCAAACTCAAAACTAACAAATTAAAAAAATAATAATGCAATTTATTTTGTATTTAATTTTTTTTTTAAATTATAAAAATAAATTAATAATCGATTGTAACACTTCGAGAACAAAAAAAAATACGAAAAAATGTGATCATAAATAATTAATTAAATATCCCCATTTACGATCGTCTGCCGCCGATCGCAAAACACGCTAACATTATATTATCGATTTAATTAACGCAATTACTTTATTTTTTTTAAATGGCAAACAAAAAAGGAAATAGGCAGACCTTATATATTATATATTCGTTAAAAAAAGAAGCTTATAATTTAATTTATATAAAATGATAATCGTCAAGGTGATAACCGATATTTAAAATGGCAGAGCGGACCGGACCAGACCGTTTTAAGAATCATCGAGATCCTTCTTCCTTTTTTTTGACTACACAAGGAAGTCAGTAAATTTAGCCGACCAAGCCAACAAAAAAAAATAACTAGTCAGAATAAAATTTACAGTGTTGAGCATTTTAAAATTATTAGCCGGAGTTATGATTTTGATCAGTAAGCTGAATCCCTTTAGTTCGTCTTTTTTCAAATTTTATATATATAAAATAAGATAATATTTTTCTTTGATCTTTTTCAATTTCTTTAATGTTTCATGTATTTTTTTTATAATTAAGATAATGGATCAATATTTAAAAAAAAAATAGTAAGTTATTAGCCAGTCATTTAAAATTGAATATATCTATTAGAGAACTGCAAAGCGGTATAGTTAAGTAATTAATATATTATTTAGCCATTTATACCATTAGCTGAAAATTATCACATTGGTCTCGCGATTTTTTTTAAAAAAATATATATAGTAGCTAACATATAAAGGAAATTAATATAAAAATGTATTAATGTTAACGAATTACCTCCGGCACGGTTATGTAGATCGAATCAGCCTAAATTTAGCCATTACCCAACTATACGGGCTAGGCATAGGCATGGCAATCGTGAAAAAGATATTTTAGGGCCGGGAATGGGATTCACAATTTATTTACAATATCAGGCGGGGCCTAGCGAATTTCAGATTTTCGGTAAAAATTTTAATAGGCCACCCCAGGTATCAAAATTTTGATATTATATTTTTTGAATTTCAAGCTAATATTTTGATCAATTTAATAATTGATAAAGTATCGATTTATTTAATTCATATTACTTAACTATATTATAATTATAAACTATAATATAATAAAAATAAACACGCTCATTCTATAAAAACGTAATTGTGACTAAGTTCCCCCAAAAAAAGAATAATAATATATTAAAATAGTATGAATTTTTTGTTTTTTAAAAAAAATTAAGGTTCTTTTTGACATACGTCCAAAATTGTTAATTTATAATATTTATTTTATTAGGCCATATCAACTGGATTAGAATTTTATGATCTTTTTTTACAATAATTTTTTGGCAGCTTTTAATTTTCGCAAAAAAATATATTAAGTACATCTTTTGCGATTTTTATACATTAAAAATCTTTATAATGAATATTAAGCTCAAAATTTTATGCAAAAAAATTTTTTCACTCAAACTTTGTTTGAAAATAACATTTATAAAAAGCATGCCGAGGTTCAAGTCTAGTATAAAACACATTTTTTTAAAAAATCGTTGTGTTAATCTGACCGATTCCGAGAAAATATCTGTCCAAGTTTGACCAATTGGAGTTCAGTTAGATCGGCGAAATACTATCTGGCTGTGCCCCGAAGCGTTGTTGAATGCCATTTTGGTTTTACGTATACAAAAAAACATTTTATAATCTAAGTAATTTCTGATTTTTTTTCATAAAATTTTTAAAGTAAATTGTTTATATCAGATAAAACCAAAATGGCGAACCACCAGCTAATATGTATTGAAATTTCGATAAATGGTGTGGATTAAATTTGGACTCGGATTGACCGGCACTTAATATGAAATAGAACTACTCAAAGAAAATTTACCATATTTTTAAAAAGAATTTTTATAATTATATTTTTAAACAAAATTTTATTCACCATTTAATGTCTGATTAGCCAATTTAACGATGTAAGCTGATTACTAATATTTAGGGCTGCACCCATATTTAATATTTGATTGGATCAAAAACGATATTTTCAAAGAAGCCAATCTGATCTGATATTTATCATCCTTTTTATTATTTATTTAAGAATGTAATCTCATAATAGTAATAACCAACATTTAATATATCTGTAATTGCAATGTTTAAAAAAATAAATAATTATTTTGAAAGTAAAAGTATCTAAATAGTGATATTAGTTTCCCCAACAAGACACGAATTTTAAAATATTTAACGAGCCATATTTTAAATGGGATATTAACCCCTTTTGGAGAATAGAAAATAAAGTATACTTAATTAATTGTGATAATGCATCAAATATTGCTTTAGACCTTAGTCATAAGAAATGGAAAATATCAATGTTTCTTGTTTTGTCCAGTTTATATTCACATTTAGTTATTTTTTGCATAAAAATTTTTAATTTTTTTATAATATTGGGTTTAAAATATGGCAAATAAAAACCTATTCAAATACTGGATCATTATTGGTTATCAGATCAAGTGTGTATCATTATTGGATTAAAATTTTGTGGATGGATCGGTACAGTCCTATTAGCATTCTTAAAAATATGAATGAACAATTAAATCCAATGTTGAATATGATACCTCCCTAGAGATAGATACTAAAATTTTTAATTTTTTATTTATTTATCATTTTATCACTATCAAGTCCAGCTAATAAAGCAGGTGCAGGTTGGACAGGTTGAATTGCTTGTACTGGAATTTCTCTTGGTTCATCGCTTAGTGTGGCACTGTCTTGGGTTGTGGCTGCATCATTGTCAGTAGCTGCCAAATTATTACCATGTATATCAGTTGAGATTTCAAGTGGTTTCTCAATGACTTTGTCACTAATTAATGAGTTTGGTGAGATATTGATGTTAAGAGCAGATTGTGGGTCAGAAACTTTCAATGAATTTTCACATAACTTTTCTGGGAATATTTTATCTATTTTTAGTATGTTATCATGATTTGGAAAACTATTGAAAGGTTGATAACTATTTTTACTATTTTCAAAAGCAAGTCCAAAATCTTTAGATTCTGCAATTGTATTTTTATACATAATATTGTGGTTTTCAATATTTTCAGGCTTTTCATTTGTATTTAAATTATTGTTGTTGGAACTTATTAAGTAATTTTTGGATGTAGATGGCATATTCATGTCCAAATCTCTGGTCTTGGGTAAATTTAGAGGCTAAATATTATTTATTTTAAGTATTCAATTAAAAAATAAGGCATAAATAATATATTTAAATTAAGCTATAGACATTTATATTTACTTTTTCATTGTAAATTAAGTCCGCATTTGATTCTTTCACATTTGTATCAGGATTTGTAGGTATTTCAATTTGATCATTTATTGCAGAATTTGTTGTAGGGATTGGTGGAGATTGAACAGGTACATTAACTAACCAATCATTTATTTCTTCTGTAGAAAGTATTTGTTCTTTCAACCAAACTATACACATAAACATACATAGACCACATACAACTATTATAATTCCTTGAGCATACGACAATAATAATTGTTTACTGTAAACAAAGTAAATGCTTTAATGATCTTATAATATTGTAAATAAACCTATCTAAATAAGTCAATGATGTTGGAAGCAAAGCTGAGGCATTTAGGTGAAAAATAGCAGTATATATTCTTGCTAAAAAAAAAAATTATATGAGAATAAAATACATTTTATTATACATGCAGCAAATGGAACCATAACTAACCATGCAATTATAACCAAAGTATAATGAAACCAATTTTTAAACACTTTAAATATTGTATTTAAGATTCCATAAATAATAACAGATAATGGTATGCTTTTAGGCATATCTGTAGCATATACTAATATTTTAAATTTATGGTTAGTTATTGATTAATATCTTAAACTTGGAATAAATGTAAATGGATGTTTACAGAGTTCACAACTTTCCTTTTTGCTATATTTCAGCCATTGAACAAGACTTTAAAATAAAATTATAAAGATTATCAAATGTTGATTTTACCAATCTTGATGAACATATTTGATTGTGCCATGGCAAACACAAGGATAGAATAGAGGATTATCTAAACTACCCTCTGATCTACATACTCGACATATGTCATCTATAAATCAATAAAAAAAATAAGTTTAATAAATTTCTATATAAAACTATATTAAATTTATACCTGACTCCTCATTTATATCATTTTTCATTATTATAATTTATAATTTTACATTACAAAAAAAAATTCAGGATAGAGGGCATCATCGACTGATCAAAAAATAGATGTAAGTATGCTAAATCATGGCCAATAAAGGATAATCATAGTGTGTTTAAAATTTAAATGGCTCGAGAGCCGATTCTTAAAAACGACTAACTCAATTTTTTATCCAATTACACAAACATTTGGGCTTACTAATAAAATCTGGAGGATTAGGCAGTATTTTTTTGGCTAAATCCGTTTTTACTAATCAGCACAAATCTATCCGTTTAACGATACTATGCTAATCATTCCACCTCAAATTCATCATATACTTTCTTGTTAAAGAATTATTTGTTTCAAATTTTATTATTTTAATAATATAAAAAGTAGATGTATTACCATATACCATCTACACGGGCGGGGTGATGGAGGGGGGGGGGGTAGGGGGGGAGGAACAGTTTGCTTTCAATTTTTACTGAGTGGTTTGATGGTTTTATGGTGAGAATAGGCGAGAGGTGGGATTAATTTATTTGGTGGTTATCTATTAGAAATAGGGCGAAATTTATTTCTGTAAAAATTTATTCCTATTGGTTTAACCTTTAGCCAAACCTACCTGCGTTTGTTGGATAATAAATTTTTAAAGCCAATAAATTTTTTAACTGATTCTCAGCCCTATGATATTGTTAATTTTATTTATGGGCTGGATTTTCCAATTCTATAGTTGTTTATTTATAGATTTTAATTTTCAGAGATTTAATATTACCTTTCGGTGTGTTTTTTTCTGGATTATTTTTTTCATGTGATATGTTTTTGAGACGAATTTTTTTTCAGATTTATTTCTCAGTGTTTTCCTTAATAAAATAATTTAATTTTATCATTTTTAACATAGTCTTTATAAAATTATACCATATGTCCAAAGCGGTTTTCAATAATTATTAATTTCTGTTGACTCAATTTTATTATGATTTAACAATGCTTGAAACTGTAACAAAAACGTTAAATATTTAAGAATAAAATTTCAAAAATTTGGACGTAAATTTTTTTCTAAATAATAATTTATCAATCTATGTTATGGTAATATTAGTTTTGCTTACATCAAACTAAAAACTGTATAAAAGCTGGCAAGTAATTGAAAATTATGGGCCTGGTTATAGATTTTTTGAAATCAAACTCTTCTATGCTAAATAAAAGAAATAAGATTTAAAGATTAGAGAGATATTGGTTAAGGTTAAAAATATATTGGCCCGGTAAATACCAGTTTTTTTTTCATAAATCCAAATTTTAGATGATGTAAGATTAAAGGGTTAGCTAACGTAGGGTTGGGTTAATATTTAATTTTAATAAATAGAAAACAATATTCTATTTATTCTTACTTTTATTCATAAAAAAATTGTGAATAATGATTAATCAGTATTAGCTTCTATTAGAAATCTGCAAAGCTCAGCCAACCCGAAACCCCGACCCTAAAAATTTAACGAGCTGTTTAAAAAAAATTAAATATAAATTTTAAATTTGAAGCTAATATTTTATACATTTATAAATAATATTATATGCTTATTTTTTTCTATTTTAGAAGCTGTTTAACAAAAATACTAAATCTATAAATAATATAGTAAATTCCCGAGTTCTTAAAAAGTTTTCAAATGGATTAAAGGTACGTCATCTAAAAATATATCTGTATTTAATTACCTTTTTTACAAATATATCTATGTATAGATTAAATTTTCTCAAGAGACATTTTTTGTTATAATTATGTAGAGTGTACATATACCTTAAGATTCCATTGTTAAATTTTGGAAGTGAGCCAAAATAATTTTTTAATTGATTATGTACAAAATATATAATTAAATGCAATAATTATTATATTTTAACAATGCATATTCAAAATATAGTTATCCAATTGTTAAAGTTTAATCATAAAGCATTCTTAAAATTTATGCATTAAGACACCCCTTTTATCTGTAAAGACATTTTTTTAGCCACACTAAAAAGTCTATCTACTGGCGCACTTGGCATGTGATGTTATATTTTATAAATATCAACTTTATCTTAGGATGATCTTTAAATATACTAAAATCCCGAAACTTATTTAAAAAAAATTATTCAAAATTTTATGAATAACAAAATATATATCATTATTCATATCCTCTAAGGGGTGCTGAAAAAAAACTTATATTTAAGTTTATTTGACTATTAATCAAATTTTAAATATATGAATTATATTTATTATATAACTCAAATTAATCGTAGTTAAAACTTATCTAAATAAATAACATAATATTAATATGTGTTAAACAGATAAATTATATAAAATAAAATGGTAGGATAATTTCGGTTAGATAGCCTATTAGATTTAATTTGTATCAATAAAAAGGTTAAAATTATTAGAGCATAAATTATTCCTTATAAAATGCAATCAATAAAATTTCATAATTATTTTGAAAGAATATTATGTTTAATAAATTCTTCTGTATAACCTTAATTGTTTTTAATTCTGATTTAATTTGGTTTATTAAGTAGATAAAATTTTCAAACGGGTCCAAAAATAAAATTGGAGATATGCCCTTGCGCATGAGTAAGTAATTGTCCTTATTCCTAAAAATTTTAGGCAAATTGGATAAAAGGAAGGAGTTCTTAAATCTCAAATATAATTAAATTAGACGGTAAATGTTCATTTTTGAGACTTAAAATTTGTTGAAATGATTAATTTTAGAAATAATATTTATTGATAAATCATTCTATACATAAAATACTTCTCTTATAAAATAGTTCTATGTAAAGTAATTCTATATAAAATCATTCTCTATAAAAAGTCATTTTATAAATGTTAGCTAAAAAATGGTCATTTTGAAAATAATTTTTTTTAAAAAAATTGAGCCACCTGAAATCATAAAGGTTAATGAAGCCCCTGCTTTATAGGCGTTTCCTCTATAAACGTTTTTCTATAAAAGAAATTTTCCAAACAGTAATTTTACCAATTTGCACCATACCATTTGAAGTGCATTATTTGCGTTTGCATCGAACCATTTTAAAAAGGCAAACTAGTTTGTTTCAATATTTTTTATAATTTAAAGGCTCGTAAATTATTTCCATTCAAACTAACATATTCTAATATAAAACTAGAAATCCAGCCTCGATTTAAACAAACGATGCGTTACCTTCTTATTAATAAAAAATGTGCTGCAAAACGTAAAAGCTCAATTTATGCGCACTTTCTTAACGAATAGAAAGAAATTATTTTTACCGTTGGACCCGATTATTTGTCAGGCCTTGCTCAAGACGATATCGATATATGGCTAAGCCTTTACTAGTTTCTAGGGCTGTGCCAATCCACAAATTTTTGACCGATCCTATATTACTAAAAACCTGATCTGATTCCGATACTTATATTGATTTTTATTCACCATCTATCTTTTGTATCAATGTAATAAAAATTTCAAATTTTCTATTTTAAAAAAAAAATTAACTTCACGAATGATTTACGTGTATTTTTTTTTATTAAACAAAACAAAAGTAAATAATCTCATTTAAAATATTTGCAATGTTTATGGGTGAATATTGTGTTGTTAAACAGCTCAATTTAGCCGATTTTAAAAAGGACTAAATCAAAATTTTGACCAAAATATTATCACCTAAGCCTCAAAATTTTGCCAATGGAAGTCCAAACCTTTCTGCCATATATAGGCAAAATCAATAAGATTAAGTAATTTAGTTTTGGACATTATCTTGAGTGAACCGTTTTTTAAATTAGCTAAATCGAAACGTTTAGCAACACTCCTTTTCTTGTTGCAGATATTATAACAAAGAGTAGTGTAAAATTTTAAACTATTATTTTTTAAACATTACAACAAATAAATTTTAGTTTAGTTCTTTTCATTAATTTATTATTATAAAATTATTTATAACCTAAAAACATATGAATATATAAAATACAATCATGTAATAACCAAAAACAAAAATAAATACTGGCCATATTTTTTTGAAATGCTAAATGTGCCGATCCAATATTTAATATCAGCGCAGCCCTACTAGTTTCTAATATAAAATTATTAACGAGTTTTCAGGTGTACTTATTTAAACCTCGATATTAATACAACTCTTGTACAATTTTGAACACATACAATCTAATGTTTTTTAATGTTTATTGTACAATTTTGAACACATACAATCTTATGTTTTTTAATGATTATGAGTTTTTACAAACTTATATTTATTATTTAAATTTACTAAAATAAAAAATAAAATTTGACAAATAGTGTGTAATAAATATACTTTTGATAAATAACAAAATAAGATGTTGATTAATATTGTTTCTCGATTTAGACAATTTTATCAATACGCAAGCCTAGATATTTTCTTAATAGATGTCTAACCTTTCTGTATAGCTGCAAAATCTTTATGCATAGGCCAAATGCACTTCAAAATAAGATTTTTTTTAGTTTCAACAAGATATTTGATCAAATATTTTAAATAATATTCCAAATCTTTTGTGATTTTTATGCATAAAAAATGCTTTATGATGAAATAAATTTTTATCTTTTTAAAAAAAATCTTAATTTTTCTTCAAAGATTTTTTGCCAAATACATTGATATGTGGGAAAAATGGTTGTAATGATGACAAAATACCATTTTATGGAATAAAATGTCCTAGTGTGGGAGAATTGTTAAAAAATAGCAAAATTAATTGGAATAAAAAATCATAAATTTTTGGAATAATTTAGGTAATCCTCCACTACTAAAATGAGGTTTTCAAAAATTATGAATAATTTAATATTCACATATCAAAAAAATTAAAATATTTTCTGAGGGGAGTTCCATGGGGGTTTTCAGCCTGGTGTTAATGTTTTATAACATAAATAAATCAATCTTAATAAAATAGGAATACTGCTAAGAATTATTTCTACTCAATAATTTGTAAATCAATTTGTGTATAGTTTTCATTCTTGTCAGAATTTTATTATTAATACAATGAATCAAATAATTAATAAAAATCAACAATTATTTAATATAATTTTGGAATGGTATTAAAAATTTTGCTACCAAATAAATTAACATAATCCAACTAGTAAATATTGATTTAATATT